ATATTAAATTAGGAGACCAAGCTAGACAATCCAAAACTTAATCTGTGAAGAATAAGCAAATTTCAAGTCATTCAGAATATTTAATAATCTCATTTTATTAAGAATTAAATACATGCCTTCTAATAAATACTATGTCCCCTCTTTAGTATACAAATATACACTTAACATCACATATAGTTTTAGCAATTATTTAGCTATGACAATGAAAGGGAACATATATGCTAAGTTCATCAAACTTAATGTTACCAGCACAGAGTGGCCATCATTTTATGATTGAAATATACATAAAAAGGAACATGTTGAATTTTTAAGAATAAGAGAGTATAATAGGGAGCTACATGAATAAAAATCACTTAATATTATAAGCCATTAATTATATTAGATATTAATCAAATAATGTAAAACAATAAGCTCTCACCCACATCCATTTATGCATTTAATTCAATGACTAGATGAAAGGTTGTTTAACAAGTGATGATGCCAAGGGGAGGGATAAGGTCAAGGTGTCTACATCTTAAATCTGCTCATGCAGTCAGAATGAAAGCCTAGACTTCTCAGAAACCTTTAAAAATGTCCATACCTATAGTTTTAATCTTTCTTCACCAAACAGCACCAGCATTTAGGTCACAAGTTCTGTGGCATTGACTAAGTGTAGAAAATCTCTTTTAATTTAAGAACAGTTCATTAAAAAGAGAAGAGAAAAGAAAACATATAGGCAGATCTATGTGTATGAAAAGACTTCTTTCTCAAGTATTCCTAATAGCTTACCTGGAACTTAGAATTCACTTTCCTCTAGAAATTATACTCAACTGAGAACAGCTAATGTCTGGAGGTGAAAGTGCTTGGTAGTCCTGGGCACATGCAAGTTAACCATTTTCTGTTGGCAATACTCCTGCACGTGATAGGTCATGCGATTAAAACAAAAAATGTTCTTTTAAATAATTTTCTTATTCCCTTTAATGATTTGATCAATCTTCTATTCTTACATCTGGTAATCTGAGCAACTTCATTGAAGATAATAATATGTAATATAACAACCACTGTTAATCTCTATTATTTGGTTTGATACCCTGTATAATATTTAATGTCCTTGTTTGCATTGTGTGTATTTTGCTATTTTCTTTTATTATTTTTTTAAAAATAAACCAGAAGCAAAAAAAAAAAAAAAAAAAAAAGGTAGTATGGTCAATTGCACAAAGTCTTGAGTTCAATTCCTGGTACAAAAAAAAAGATACTAACAATAAAAACTTAAGCCTAGAGATTTCACAGTAAGTTTACATTTCAGAATAAAAATTCAAAATTTGATGGTACATTATTTCCTCACTCTCATCAAAATTTTTGTGTGACCTGCAATATACGTTGGGGGAAGATGTGGTACATATTAAACCCTACTGGTATGAATGATTTACTTAAAGATAAAAAGAAAGAGTTTTGATGTAATACTCACCTTAACATGAATAAATTAAGTGTCTTTCAGAGAAAAAATGATCTGCAAGCATTAATTTTTAACAAATAAAGGTTTTCAAAATATTCTAATGTGCAAAGGCTCTTCCTTGAGTACAGTATTCCAAGTGTGTAATTTTCTCATTTCAAAGACAAGGAACTCTTTCATAAATGCCCTTCTCTACAATGTGGAGGGACAATTTCCGTTGCAAAGTAGGTTGTGCAGACCCTCTGCGCTCTTACCTAAATTATTAATTTGGTTAATCAGTGCATCCCTTCCACAGATATTCTAAAGGGAGACTGGTCCCACTCCCTGTCCAAAATTCCAGATGATATTAATTAGCAAATTTTTATTTTTAAAATGAAAGTAGTATTAAATGCAGCCAGTATTCAATTCTTATATAAGATGTGCCCTAGGATGTAAAAGATTTACAAAAGAAATTCGTGTGCATTATTTGCAGATTCACAAAGGAATTTGGTCCTTAACTTACTGCATATAAAATCTGCATTTTGTATTGGAAGTAAGTCCACCCTTACCTCCAAAACCCACCATAAAGAATTTTTAAGGTATGTAATTAGGACACCTGCCTTAAATCCTCTGATAGAATTTCTTTTTTAGTTCATTTCTTGGGAAAAGTCTTCTGGCTGTTGCTTTTTTTGTTTTTTTTTTTTTTTTTTCCATCAAAGCTATTTTGCTAAATTGCTTTCCAAGCAGACCTCCGAATATTAGCAGTCGAATCTGGTTCTGGCCTTGTTGCAATTTGAATATTAACGGTCATAGTTTTACAGCCAGTCCATTTTGAGTAATGCATCGCAACCCTCACCACTCAGCCATCATTTTTCCCCTTCCTCAGCTGGCCCTGGCCCTTAGAATGTTTGCGTGGTGTCACCGTGAATGTGCTGGGAGCAGAGTTATACGGCATCATTTGGAGAAACATTGCGTTAATAACCAGAGTTCAAGGGCAAAGGATATAAACGGAGCAAATTACAAGTCTGAACAGATATATAGCTTTTGCTAAAAGGGACATGGGCTGCTACTTTATTTACTGGGCACTGGTGCTTTTGCGGATGGTGCCAGAACACAGGAAGGCGTTTTTTAAATGACCACATCACAGCCTAAGAAAACAGCACACATTTTCAGCCTAGAATAAAAGCTAGTGCAAAGATCAATGATTCTGAGTTTCCTAACAAGAGAATACAGTTTACTATAACATACCTTAAGCTTCTGGGGTAATTTCATAGATGATAATATCATTTTATGTGCTACCAGAAAGGGAAAGCAAAGCTTGCTGGAAACCTCAATTCGAAAGATCGTTTTGAACTGCAGCTTCACCCAATTTTGTCAGGAATTACTTGCTATACTTATTGTAACCATCTTAACCAGCATTTCCACATTAGTTGAGAATTAGCACTATAAACGATTGATTTGTGAAAATGGTATCCTTTATTTTTATATGTTGATTTCTGAGCTACCTCCAAAACTATATAAGAAAGACAAATTCCAAAATAAGAAGAAAAATCAATTTTAAAAAGGAACTGAGTGACTTCATTAATAACCAAAGAAAATTAATATCAATGAAACACTGCAACTTGCTCTATTAATAAATAATCTTACTAATATAATCCCAAATAACACAGGACATACTTTAAAATATAATGTATACTTTATATGCATGTTACTTTTTATAATGCATACATATGCCAAAATATCATGTTGTACACCTTTAGAATATATACCTATTTATATATTCACTTTATCCCTACTAAAGCTGAAAAAGTGGGAAATCATACTTTTCTAATGGCAGGATAGAATGCCACAAATTTTTCTTTTTGTAAAATAGCTGGAAAACTTTAAAGAACTATCAAAATATTTCAGAAAACATGGCCCATTTATTGCAGTATAAAAATTCTATGAAATTAATCATTTTTAAAAAGAAATGTTTTCTTAAGATGATTTTTAATATATTGTTAATTTTCACTGAACTGTAGGAACAATTTAAGTATACAACACTAAGGAAATGGTTAAGTAAATTGCATGTCCACTGGATGAAAGATTATGCTGCTACTAAAACCAATTAATATGGCTATTCTCAAATAATACTAAACAACACTTGTGACATTTTGTATGAAGAATCCAGTCAATTCAAATACCCTCTTTTATAAATATTGAAATATACATGGATTTAATTGAAGTGTGCATTTTTGTACATACTATGATAGCCTGATAGAATTGTTAGATTTCTTGAATCTTTTTCTTTCCAAACTTACTGTTATATCATTAAAATATGGCATTTGAGAGAGAAATACACACAGGTACACACTGTTTCAGCCACAGATAGATAACATGCACCTTTTTGACACATTCAGTCTTACTTATTGCTCTTTTAAATGTGGCTTCAGTTCTTGGGCGGTACTAGTGATAAACGCAGGGAGGAGTGGTGGGGAGTTTCATGCCTAAGCAGACAGAATAATGCAACACGTTCCTCCTATGAAAATAACCAACTGTTTCTCTAAACTATGTTGCTCTCACAGGCAAACGACATAACACAGAGGGAGGACCAGCTTTCTCCTTGACACGAGATATATTGCCTTCAGCCCGAGAAATGCTTGCTGTGAATGGCCCTGTCCTTCAATTGCCAAAGAAGAAACAGGTGACAGAATAGCCCGCCACCAGCCCCATTTCTGCAGAGGTTCACGACATATTTTCTCCTGCTATCTGTCTGTCTGTCTCAATTCCTCCTCTCAGCTTAATGAGTTTTCAAAAGGACAGATCTTAAATGGAATTGCCCAAAACCAGGCGCTCTCCTCTGTTTTCAAGGCCAAACAAAATATATTCAAATTGCTAGTGACTCTTAAACATAGAGAAGCCAGACAAACTATGAAAATGTTACATCTCTAATGGGCAAAAATGTATATTGAGAAGGCATCCTGCTATTTTATTGTATTCTATTTGAGAAAATTTTTATTTGATGTAAAGGTCAAGTGTTGTACATATTATCCTGCTTAGAATATCTGAAACATAGCCTCCTTCCTTTTTTTTAAACCAATTTCCTTTTTGTAAATAAAACAATTGTATTAAACTAAAAATTTGCATACCACACAATTTGAAACTCAAAATGTAAGATTCATTTGATATTAGCCCATTGCCGGGTCCGTAGAGCTACAACCACAATCAAACCTAAGTCATTTTTCTTATCCCAAACCAAAGCATTCTACCTATCAGCTATCATCTCCCAATCTCTCCCCACTAAATCCAGGCAACCACTGTGCTACTTTCTATTATCATAGATTTTTCTATTCTGGGAATTATTATTTTTTTTTCTTCAAAATAGACCACGTTCATAAAGAACAATTTTAAAGCCAATTTTCTGTGTTTTTAATACTGCCTGAAAAAAAAATGGAAATTGCATCTCCGTGGGTCTGTTATATTATGTCTCAGATTTGGAGGGGCATCACAGGCATTAATGGCAAAGAAGTTTAAACTTTTCAGGTTGGGAAGAGGAGGCTGGTGGACGGTTCTGAAGGCGAAATGATTCGTCAAACATCCTTTGGAAATTATGAGGAGCTCTTTTACCCTCCACTTTCCCATACTGAGTTTTCCTTCCTCCCGCAGAGAAATAATAGAAACTAATCTTCAAAATCTAAACACTGCAAGCCCGATCCTTTTGTGCAACCATCTTGCTCCCCGAGCTGGGCACCGAGCAGCGCCAGAGCGCCCGTATTTGCAGGCTGGCGCCTCGCGGCTGGACGCAGCCGCAGACAGCCCATCCATCATCCGCCTCCTCCCGCCGCGCAGCAGCCGCGGCCAATGGGCGCCAGGTGGGGCCGCACCTGCGGGCCGCGCGCTTCCTTGTGCTCGCCGCGCCGCGCCGCGCCTCGGGGGCCAGCGGGCCCCGGAGCCACTGCGTTCTCCAAGACCAGGATGCGACAGGTATGCTGGGTGACAGGGACCCTGACTGTGCTGAGACAGCCGCTGGCAGCCAGGGTGTGGCGGCGGCGGCTGGAAGTTGGGAGTCCTGGTCCTCCCTTAACTCCCAAACCTGGTATGCAAGGGCCTGCCTTTCAGGGGATGGAGGGCAAAGCGACCCCCTGGACGTTTAACCTCTAGAAAAGTGGAGGGATCCCGATTCTTACCTTTGGAAGGAAAGAGCCACTGAGAATGTGGAGAGACTGTGTGACCTCAGGTCTGTGGCTCTTTCTGGTACTAACCCAGGATGGAGTTTATAAGCCAAGTACTGCCCCAAGACCGACCAAGGGACACTATTACCACAAGGCTTAAGTTTAAACAGTCTCCATAGGATGTACAACCTACCCAATAGAAAACCTGACCTAGACCCCAAAGGATCATAAAACCAGACTGTAACAATTAAAACAAATACTACAAGAACAACAAAAAAAGAAACAAAACAAAACAGAAAACACAGGACCTTGAACGGCAGGCAATATTTTCCAAGTAACAAAACTATTTGTAATACCACCACCTTGTCTTTGTGGTCTTACAGGCGGTTTGGAGTTCCTCAGCTGCGGTCTGGGGGATGTAGCTAAGATAAGCCCTGCCCGCGTGTTATGGATTTTATACTAGGGCTCAATATCTCCCTTTGGTTTAAAGCGTCCTAAACATCAACTCCACCATGGAATTTGAGAAGGACTTAGGACAGGCAGAATCAGAACTGCGAGCAGCAACCCCCAGCCCTGACGTGTTCCAACAGTGTGTCCAGGAGACGAGGATTACAGTGGTGCAAGGCCTTGGCAAACAACAGTCCTGCAGAGGCTTCAAGGTTTCCTAGAAACACATATTTTAAAAATAATAACAGTGACCGCAGCTGCAGGGATCACCCTCGACTCCCTGCCCCTGTTTCACTTCTGAGTTATAAATCATAAAAGAGAGAGAGAGAGACAGAAGCAGTGGCTGCAATTCTGCTACCTTTGACAACTGGGTCTGATCGTTCCAGAAAAGAAGAGAAATAACCCTGGGGGAAAACAGCACATCACTGCAGAAGGAGGAAGGGCACACTTGGGAAGTTCAAGGCTCCTCCCATCACTCACAGGATCCTTCCTTCTAAGTCAGTCCCTCCTGGGGGGGGGGGGTGCTTATTTGTTTATTTATTTATTTATTTGAAATACTAATACCTAGATCAATAGTCTAATGTGACTGTTGTGAGGTGCTCTCAGAGCATAAATACATAGGAAAACTCTGCCGTCGGTGGAATGCACAGCCCTATAGCTGCACTTTTCAGGTCTGCTCTGCTTCATGGGATGCGGGAGTGGGATTCGTGGAATATTATTCTGCTCTGTTCCAAGAGATACAATTACCACTCCCCATCACTGCCCTCTCATGCAAAAGCACAGATTCCACAATGCTGTGTCTTCTCTCCCCCTCCCTCTTGCTTCCTCCTTCTCTCTCTCGCCCTCCCTCTGTTCCCCCCTCTCCCTCCCTCTCTCTGTCTCTCGCTCTCTATCCTCTGTCTCTCTGTGTCTCTTTCTCTCCTCACGTATATTTCACTCCTTTTAGTGTTCTGCTCTATTCATTCCGGCTGCTAGAAGATTATTGTTTCTCACTTAAACGCCTTGACAGGAGGTTTTTCGTTTTCCGGTTTTTGCTAGTGAAACATTTGTTTACGTTATTATTTGAACTTGGAGGGGTGGAGGGCAAGTGACAGACTCGCTGCGAAATGTTGAAATCCCAAAAATGCGCAGGTCTCCAGGTGAGTGTGGTGGAATGATTAACCCATTTAGTCCACGGCCTTTGTTCATCTGCCTGGGGCCTTCCCAAGTCACCCCGCTTCCATAGCGCAAGTCCGGCTGCACACTTTGTGTGAGTGGGACCTTCCTCTGTTCACCAACATGGAACTGAAGCTGCTCTTTGCCTTGGCTTTTCTTGCTGTCCGTGGCTAGCAGCACCACATTTTGGGATTGCGTTACACCCTTTTCCTTGAGAGATAGATGATCTGTTCTTTGATTGGACACCCTGACCTTTTACAGGTGTTGATCATTGATCCTGATCTGAGCTGGATAGGAAGCTCTTGACTCCGAAAAGTTACCGTGCTGCCAGCACCCCAAGGAAATTCAGTTTCTGCATCCTCAAAGCCACTGCAGCAGGACTCAATTAGGATATCTCCTCTTATTATTTTACTTTTATTAAGCAAGCTGCAGCCTCTGCTTTCCAGCTCTAGCTTTTAGTTACAGTAATCAATTTTTTCAGTATAACTGGCTATAATTGCTGGCTTGGATATTGAGCTTTCATGGGGCTTAGACATAGTGTGTTCCCGAGAAGGGTCCTCTCCATACCTCGCCGACAGATGGGTAATAATACCATACATTAATACCTCCACATTGGTTTATGTGTGTTTGACCACAGTGCAAGCATAATTATTTTTGCCCAGTAAAAGCTATTAGAGATCTATTTGGTAGGTTTTACGATCAATAGCTCCTGTGATATTTGTGTAGGAGCCACAGAATAATCAATTGAAGGTCATATAAAGTAAATTACCATCCTCCCATAATGATTCTTTCTTCTAGATGAGAATTAGGTTTTATTATTTCATCAGGAGCCCCTCACGACGCATGCTCTGTCTGCTGCAAAAAGAGATATAAAAGTTGTGAACGTGTTTTGAACATAGTATTCATATCCATTACTTGAATTTATGTTATTGAATTATTGAATTAGTGGATTCACGCTGGAATTCCTTCAGAACCCTTTCTTATGTACTCAGTGACACAGTTAATAACGCTCAAGAGCCAGATGACACCTTTGCCTCATGGTGGAGTGAGTCACTTTGCAAAAGTTAATCTTCGTAGCTGTCTCTTTAAAGCAAATTTAGAGTTGGTTAAATGTGTTATATTGACAGTATGACCAAGCTTTTTCCTTCCAACCCCTTTGGAGAGTGACTGGTGAACTAAGCAGGAGATGCCGCCAGGAATGCTGAATACTAATGCATCATCCACCAGGCCCCGAAGGTGAAGCCGGGGGGAGGGCAAGGGGCAGCCATCGGCTCAGACACCTGTGCTAGCATCAAGCCTCCAGCTCACCCGAGGTGCCTAACCTGGATTTCAGCCTTGCAGTGCCAGCCGAAGTGATGGCTGAGCCTCTCTAGCAGATTGCAATTTGCCAAGCGGAGGCATGCAGTCCCCCAACTGTCTTAAAGGGACCCGTTTTCAAAGCGTAGCCTTTCCTTTTGTGGGTGCAATCAGTCGTGCACTGAAAAACTGCAGCCACGGTTGGATAACCGCAGGCACAAGAGGCCACCGGAGGCCTCTTTGCTCCAAATTTTGTACCTGCAACTAATTGAACTTACAGCAAATGGGAGTGTGGTAGGAGCTTTTTTAAAAATTTGGGCCACTAAATTCTCCATGGAGGAAATAGGCGAGGAGAGAGACAATTACTCACTTTCTTAAAGACAAAGGCGAATAGAGACACCTTTTTCTTTTCACGCTAGATCTAGTCCGGAGGGCATGGTCTGGGAGCTGAGTGCCAGATGCGAGTCCCCCTTGATCATTTGGGACATCACCCAGGCCAAGGAGCTGCTTTGCCAATGCAGAAGAAATAATCGGAGGAAAAGTATACCCAAGAAGGTATTAGTAAGGTTGCAACTTCCTGTCTGGTGATAAGCCGATGAAGTGTTTCAGAATAAATTGCAAAAGGGACTTTCTTTTTCTTCAGAAAAATTGATGTCATCCTTACTTCTCATTTGCTTTGCAGCTAACTAATGAACAAATTTAAAATAGTGAGACCTTCTAGATTTTAATGAGTGGAAACCAAAAAGCATCTTAAATTATGTATAATATATATGTATATATATTTGTATGCATGTGGAAATATTTATACAAATTATACACACACACATATATATAGATATATACACACAATCATACACATGCACATTTTACATTTTTTAATGAGCCAAGGGAAAAGATAGTTTTGAGTCTTACGTGTTACCCATAAAGGACCAGAGTCCTACCTAGTTCCCAGAGGCGGGACATCTGCCTGAAGGAGACTTTTGAAGCGAAGTCCCCATGGATCCCCTTCTACCATCTCCTCTGTATACTGTGGTGCTAAACAAATTGAGATTGAATCCAAGAGAATAGTTTCTACCTTTTGAAGATGACCACAAGTTAAGTGTATGTTTAGGAAATTAAACTTGAAATACAAAATAACATTGGCAATTTGAGTTACTAGCCTTATAGTAACAGTTTGAAATGCAGTTGTATCCCAGTGACAAGAGTCATCACCAAACACAACAGGATAAGCTCTTGGTAAACTTTGCTGGTCCTAGGAAATAGATGGTGTGTAGCATAGTAGTGATTAAACACTAGAGAAATCCAGATAGACGTACGGAGTAGCCGCACAGAACAGAGAGCACGAAAATAAATACAACCGTACACTGTCAGCTTACTGAGGCTGCCGAGCATGCGCAATGTGGAAAGAACAATCTCTTCAGATTTGGCTGGGAGAACTGGATATACACAAAGAATTATATCACGCCCTTTGCTCATGCAATCATAAAGTCAGTGAAAAATGGGTTACAGACTTAAAGGTAAGACTTGAAACTGTAAAATTCTAAGAAAAAAAAACAAAAACAAAAAACAGAAAAAGTGTCATGCCACTGGCCAGGGCAATGATATTTTGGACAAGAGTCCCAAAGCAAAACTAGATAAATGATATTCTGTCAAAATAAAAAAGCCTCCAAGCTGCAAAGGAAAAGAACAGAATTCTCCCTATGAAGTGGGAGAAAATGCTTACAAATCATTTGTAAAATAGGGTATGGATTTCAAAAATGTAAGAGGAAGTTCTGCCACTTTTTAGCAAAACACATAATAACCAAATGGAGTAGACATTCACCCAAAGAAGATACACAAATATCTAGCAGATATGTGAAAATATGTCTAGTGTCATTAACTGTCAGAGAACTGTGAATCATATGTATAATAAGAGGATGCTACGCTGGTAGGGTCGCTGTCATATCATTTATTCCCTCCCACCCAATGACAAGTGTTGGAAAGGATGGGGAGAAGTTGGAGTCCTTATATGCTGTTAGCATCCTGCTATTAAAGAAAAGAGTTCCGTCTAACCTACATGAAAATAATGCCATCATTCCTATGAAAATATGATCAGTGCTATGTTGTTGAACTTCATGTATATATTAAAAGTCAGCTATGAAGTAAACATATGCGAGAACCTAACAATTCTTTTTAGGATATTCCTTGTAGGAAAAACACTCCAAGGTTTCAATTATGATTTATACCCATGTGAGAAAGAGTCAGTAAAAGAGTGAAAGGAAGGACTTCTGGCCCTTAACTGTCTTAGTTGTTCTTATCTAGATTATATTGGCCTGAGAATATACTTTTCATTGACAGATTCCTTCAGGAGAAAGATGTACAATTAGAAATACAAATTAACCCCTAAGCAGTTGTCTGAGTTACTTTTCTCAATGCTGGGACAAAATACCCAATAATCAAAGTTAAGGGAGCAAAGGGTTTATTTATCTCACAGTTTATAGAAGTTTTAGTCCATAATTGACTGGCGCAAGGCAGGGTGGCCTGGCAGAGAATAGTTCACGGCACTCACTAGGCAGCAAAAGTAACAAGGGGGAGAAATAAGCCTCTTTCTGTCCCTTATACTGTATGCAATCCACTGGGACTAGGGTGCTGCCTATCCAATTAGTGGATTGTTCCAGCCATCACCCACCCTTAATCCCGGCACCCTTAATCCCAGCATTGCACTATGAATCAATCACACACTCTGGATTCAACCACTTCCCCAAAAAACTCTGCGACTGCATGAAGCTTTGGAGGGACATCTACACAAACCTTAAAGGAAGCTTATGGAGAGTCATACAACCATTAGTCTGATTGGAATATTTGAATTGTAGAGCTACTTCTTTGTTTTTCCTTCTCTTTCCTTTTATGAGGCATTAAATAAATGAAATCTCTACCACACCCTTTAGACAATATACTAAATAAGAGACTAATTTTTCTTATTCATTGTACTGAAACATTGCATTCAGTTTTCGTCCTATATTTTTAAAAAGGTGGAGTAATTCTAGAAGGACCAGAGAAGAGAAATCCAAATGATATAAACAATAGAATTCTGAGACATGGTTAGAAAAATTGTTCTACAGACACAAAGGTAAAAGATGGTAAGAGTATGAAATGATCTATGAGGAAATTACAGGACTATTTTCCTCCAGAGATAAAAGTAATAACATTTGGGGAAATGGACTTAAATTAGAAGCAATTTTATATGTACAGAAAAATATCCCATTAACTGTGAAAGCTAAAAATAGTTTTAATGAACAACAAAGTAAAGCTATAAAATATCAATCCTTACAACAACAAAAACCTATGCAAATGAGGCATTCGATAAATAAATAGCTGCTATTGGAACTGATGGATGATGCTAATGGTAAAGGTTGTTTGACCTACTTCCTTGCAAATTTCTATAAAAACTTTGCATGACCTCGTCTCTCTTAGTGCTTGCCTAGCACCCTCAACTACAGATTAACTCCACCACATAGTTTCATACTAGTTTACACAGTTTTGCCATCCCTTACTAGGTGATCCTGTTTAATCTTGGTTTTGCTTGAAATAAAATTGTAAGCCTTAAGTGGGCTGGAGGCTCTGCCCAGTGGGTCTACAAAGCTTCCATGCAAAGTCAGCCATCAAAGAAAATAATACCATGTATATGTCTCTTTCCTTAAATCTGCATTTTACTGTATCTGACCTTGATTCTGCCTTCACCTGGAAAATAGATGCTCTCAGTTGGGAAATCCCTCATCTTTTATATAGTTTTTTAAATACCAAACCCATCTGCATCTACCATTGTCAAAGCTCCCTCTTGTCTCAAGGGCCGGTTCCTTTATTTAAGTTCTGAATCTTATGCCCTCATTCTCTGAAGAATTTTGATGATTTTTTGATATATTACCCTCCTCCTCCAGTGCTCTTTCAATTCTGGATTAGTGTAGAAACTGAAAAGTACAAACACTTAGTCCCCCCATGCACACACACACAAATACAGAAGCATAAATCAAACCCAACTTTTGCGTAGGGTGATCGTTACCTCCAATGTCCGTTGTCTCTCTCTTGATAAGTCCTTGAACTGTAACTCTTGATCTACACTTGCAGTTGGTTCCACGAACATCTTGAATGGACAATATCCCCGTTTCTCTGAGAGCTCGGTGTGGCTGTGCGAACGAGTAAACAGAGGCAGCCTTAGTGAGGTGATCTGGGTCTTCCATCTCCCTTCTGTTTCTTACTTTCTAACGTTATTGACTGGGGCTGAGGAGAGGTACACACCAAGTTTGAGCTGTTGTTGTATGTCGTATCAACTGTAGCCAACATTAATTTTCCTGATATACTAATATTTCCTAAAGCGCATCTCCCTAAAGCGACTGCTTCTGACCTCAACTTCCCGTCACATGACACAGTTTGAGTCATTTTGATGCACAGCCTCACGTTCTCACTGCTGCCATGGCCCATCCATTCCATCCCCGCCACAAGCCCTACAGAGACTGTCCCAGTCACACTGGTCTCTACTTACCAATCCGCATCTTATTCGCTGTAGCAATAGCAGCTGACACCATTCACTTCTTCTCAAAATTCTCCCTTTCCCAGAATTCCTTACTAGGATCACACCCTCCTGAGTCTTCTTTAGCCTCTTTGTCTTTATTCCTCAGTCTCTTTGACAATCCTACATTTCAGTTGCCTACTTCATCACTTCATCTACTTCGTCCTCTTTTGATTCCGTTGTTATTTTAAACCCAATATATCCAATGTGGAATTCTTGCTCCTCTCACTTCTGGAAATTGTGCCTACCTCAACCTTGCTCATCTTAGCAAATTCAACCTGGATCTTTTTGTTGGACTCTTCTTTAACTGCAATCTCCTTCACCCTTTAGAACCCTGCTCTCAAAGCAGTTGTCGCTGGGTGTATCTCAAGCATGAAATTTACATCTATTTCTGTCCATTTTTACTTCTGCTACCCTAGCTCCAGGTATCATAACCGTCCTCTTGGTACATGCAATGATGTCTAGTCTGTGTTTCCCATTTTTTCTTCCTGTGTTAAATCACAGATTAATCTACAGAAATAAAACTCGTAGCTGTGCTGATTCAAGCTCCACTGTGGACAGATTTGGTGGACAGACCTCAGTATAAACTCCTTAACTTGGATCACATGGCCCTTGAGAACATGGTACACCCTCACACAGGTTTCCTTTCAGTTCTTTAGAAAGAATGAAGTATTTCCCACCCCTGAACCTTTTTACAGCTGTTCCTGCTCCCTAGTTATCTCTTCCCTAACCACTTCCTGTGGTTGAGTATTTCTTACCCTTTAAGGTTTCCATTAAATATTATTACTTCAACAAAACTTGCACTAACTACCTTATTAAAGGACATATTTGCACACCTGTGTACACATATAAGGATATGTACATAGGTATGGGTATATAGGTGTATATATGTAGGTGTGCATACATTTTATAGTGTATATAGATATACACATACTTATGTACATGTTTTATAATGTGTCCATAACACTTTATGATCTTTATAAATCTTCACTGATACTCCTTTAAAATA